CTAAGCTAATATAATTTTTAATGGCCGCTATGTTGCAAAAAATCCTGAAAATTTAATAATTTTGGGCCCTCGTAGACAGACATGCACTCACACCAGCACACCACTGGTCTCATCTCCCCAACAACCCCACTCTCCCCACTCCCACCTCCCATGCCCCAGAGACCCCCGAGTCTAGCCTTGAGTCTCTCTTCCCTCCCCATTTTAGATGTATTTTGCATGCCCGCTCCATGCTCAGCAGCGCCCAGAGGTCCAGTCCCCAGTTCCCATTCACACTGAATCTCACTTTATGTGTCCTTCCCGCCAAGTTCTGTTCATTGGAGTTTCCTTCTCACACCCCTGCTCCCGTCCAGCTATCGCATGCATTCAGGATTTCTAATCCAGGAAATGAGCTCTTGAGCTAGAACAGATTTTCAGCCTGATCCCTGCCTCAGAGGGTGGGTCCCCTCCACTTTGACAACTTGATCCCCTTGAACTGTCCTACTTCATGTCCCTTCCAAGGTTCTGCCTACTGGAATCATGTCATCCTCCTCTCTCAAGTACTTCCCGGCCTCTGTGCCCCTCCTCTCTGAGTCCAGGTATTCTGTCATCTTCTCACAGCTGGAAGAACAACAGGCCACATGTCCAGCCCCTGCCCAACCCAGATGATGCTATAAAGGCCTTCTTTGAAAGAGAAAGAAAGAGGTGACATTCTGTGGAAGAGAGCCTAAAGGACCAGGCATCCAACCTGCCAACTCTGCAGCCCGAGGTCCCCTCTACTGGTGTTTTCTTCTGGTTGAAGACCCATTCTTTGGAGATCTAAACCCTCAGCATTCTGGGCCTCAGATCTCCACCTTGAGACTCTTCTTTCTTAAGACCCTTGTTTTTTTTTTTTTTTTTCTTTCCCTTCTAGGCCTTAATCATATCTGGGACTCAGGAGCCCTCTCTTCCAGGCTTTGCAGGCAGATTATTTCAAGATGAAGACATTTTCCCCTTCACGCTGGCTATTGTTTCACCTTCTTCTACTTTTAGGAAATGGTGAGTGATTTTGTTCAAAAGAGGATAATCTTGGAGTTTGAGTTGGGTTTGGGGAGAATGTTGACAACTCCTGGGATGCACACGCTGTACTGTTAGCTCTCACTCTCATCAAAGGGGTAGGGATCATTATTTTGTGCTGTTTTCTCCAGTCCAACCCAGGATTTGTTCTCCATTCTTTTCCTAGTAGCAACTTTTCTGTCCAGAAGTCTGCCTATTTCCTCTGTAATAAATCAGTCCTAAATAGAGATGCATTAGAGTTAGAAGGGATCTTAAAGTGAATGTCTGACCCCACAGTAAGTAGGGATCCCCTTCCAACATCTCTGACAGCGGTCAGCTAGCCTCTAATTAAACATGTGGAGGTGTGCTGTTTCACATTCTCACAGCTTTAATTTTCTCTAGAATCAGCTCCACCATGGCTTTGACTCATTTGTTTTATGCCCCTGAACAACACAAAATAAATCTATTCCCTCTCCACAGGCCAGATTTTCATCTCAACTTCTCACTTAGTTTATCTTAGGATTAGTTAACCCTAATCAGAGGCATTAACAAGAGGTTTTAAAATTCTTCCCCCAAATCTAAGTTTGCAATTTTTATCTTGGTCCAGACAACACTAAGAAAAGAACACAGGCAGAGGGTGTGGGGAAGAACACTCACGTCCCAGTAGAAAAACAAGCCATATATCAGGTGAGGGTAGTTAGGCATCTGGGGGGCCAAGTGCTTGGTTATTATTGCAATGGAAAATCAGAACAGGGTAGAAAATAGGCCTGAAATAGAAGGAAAGAGCACCAGTCTCACCTTGACTCTAACTCACTAACCAAGGAGGTTGAGCCCCTTCCTTGAGTCCTGGGAGATCTTATTTCTTCGAGGTACGTGTGGCTAGTTCTTTGCTAAACAATGTGCCAAGGCCATGTGGGGTCCCATAATTGGTGTCTCTGAAACTTTTGTGTACATAAGAATTACCTGATAGTAGTAAAAATGCACATTACTGTCCCCTCTGAAACTGATTCGCCTTGATTATCTCTCCCCTACAAGAAGGATACAATTTTGTTTGGAGAGCTGCTCAATGTGTGCACATGAGCCCTTCAACTTCCTCTTTTCCATTCTTTCTCTGGAGAGTATCATGAATAGTGAGAGAAGGAATAACAACACCATCCTCTTGGGACCCCAGGTCATACGACTTCCCCATACCTCGGATGTGGAATAGCATATGAGTTAAGGGCTGGCTCTAGTGTCAGATTGCCTTGATTTAAATCCCTCTTCCATACCTGCTAGTTCTCTGACCTGGGACCAGTTGCTTAACTTCTTGAAACCTCGATTTCCCCATCTATAAAATGGGAGTAATAACAATTCCTATCTCATGGACCTATTGTGAGGATTTGAAGTACTAATTCATACATGGCACTTATCACAATGCCTGGAACATAGCGAACACTCAGTAAATGATAGTTGTTATTATTGTTGTTAGTAGTGGTAATTGCAGAACCAAACAAAATTTCCTATGGAACTAACCAGCCATCCTTTCTTAATAAGCTGTAACTTCCAATGCTAACACTATAATCATCTCCCTTGGACCAACCACAGCATCCAGTGGGACCACCTCTACCACACCCCCTGGATCAACCACACCGTCCAGTGCGACCACTGCCACCACCCCTGCTGGATCGACCACCCCGTCCAGTGGGACCACCGCCACCACCCCTGCTGGATCGACCACACCGTCCAGTGGGACCACCGCCACCACCCCTGCTGGATCGACCACCCCGTCCAGTGGGACCACCGCCACCACCCCTGCTGGATCGACCACCCCGTCCAGTGGGACCACCGCCACCACCCCTGCTGGATCGACCACCCCGTCCAGTGGGACCACCGCCACCACCCCTGCTGGATCGACCACCCCGTCCAGTGGGACCACCGCCACCACCCCTGCTGGATCGACCACCCCGTCCAGTGGGACCACCGCCACCACCCCTGCTGGATCGACCACCCTGTCCAGTGGGACAACCGCCACCACCCCTCCTGGATCAACCACCCCGTCCAGTGGGACCACCGCCACCACCCCTGCTGGATCGACCACCCCGTCCAGTGGGACCACCGCCACCACCCCTCCTGGATCGACCACACCGCCCAGCGAGACCACCGTTACCACACCTCCTGGATCAACCACACCGTCCAGTGGAACTAACAAAACAGCTACAACCTCCAATGTCACCAGCACAAGTAGTGCTCCTCCAGGGAATGAGAAAAAACCTAACGGATGCCTGAGGCCGTGGGAAGTCGCCCTAATCACTCTGGCCTCGGTTGCAATGGCTGTGATTCTCTTCACTGGGCTCCTCTTCCATTTCGTGAGTGCCAGATGTGGAAGAAATCCTTTTCCTGAGGGAAAGAGTGCAGGAAAGTTGAGGAAGGAGCTAGGGTAGAGAGAGCAGTGTCACTGTGGAAATCAAAGGGAATGAGAAATCAGGAAAGAGTTACATGACAAGACAGAGAAACAACGGGTTAGAGCCAGCAAGCTGAGGCTCAGAAAAGCCAAGATACAGTCAGAGGAAAGCAATGAGGGAAGAAGGGGACCAAAAGAAGCAATGCGGAGGGAGAGTGCCGGCAGGAAAGTGGGGTGCTTGGGATTGGAGAGCACTGGAAGAAGGGAGCATAACTCAGAAACTATTCATCCTTTTGTTTTCTAGAGAAACTCTCTGTGCCTAAGAAACCTCTTCAATGTGGGTCTCTACCACCCTCACGGCCCGAACCCTCGTCCGTGCCCTCCCGGCTATTATGGAGCCCAAGATGGGTCAAGGGCGAAAGTAACTGACTCCAGAGAAGGCCAGTCTCCTCCTGCAGGCATGGAGCTGCCTGGGAGACACAGTGGCCCTGCGTGTCCTTGAAGGCAGAGGCATCTCGGTCCTCAGAGGGGTGGAGCTGACCTGGAGGCCACAGGGCCTGAGTTTCCCTCCACTGACCCCCAGGGCTGCTCCTCCCAGCTCTGCTTCAGCCTCTTACACTCCTCCCTCCCGCCTGGTTTTTCCAGCCCAGAAAAGGAAGGCTGTAGCAGCGACTAAATTATTAAATAAATGCATTTAATATATGTGGGAGCCAGACTCTGTGGGTGTGTGTTTACCTATTGCTGTGAATAGAGGTTCCCTATGTCCTAACGATCCCTTTTCCCTGTGTTCTCCCAGCTCTCAAATCCTTAGAGGAAAATGCAGAGACTTTATATCGGCCCCATTTTCTTCCCCCTTCTGTCAGCATTCCCTTGAGACCTCTGGGCTGATGGAAGGATGGAATCAGGAAAGGTGGGGGTAGGCAGGTGCTGGGCTTCACAGATTTGTGTTGCACGACGAGAAAACAATCTCTGTGTGAGCTTAGAGCATGAAGAGGGGGTGGTGATCACGTATGTTGTGAGGCAGAGGAGGAATTCCTAATGGGGCTACCCCCAGGTGTGGCCACATTCCCTGGCCACTCATGACTGCTCTGGGTTTGGATTCTTCACTGGAAGGACAGGGGTGAGTTGCCACTTTTCTCTCCTGTGGGCTCCCAGCCCCAACAGCTGTCCTGGAAGAATGTGCCCCCTATTTCTGCAACGGCAGGCCCAGCTCCCAGTAGGCTCTCAGTAGCCCCTGCAAAACCAGGTCTCAGAACAAGGACACAAAACTGGGGTGTCAGTGCAGCGCTCTTACCGAAGCCCCAGCCTGGTCAAGATTTCTGGTGCAACTTGCTCCACTGACACCACGCGCTCCCCTGACTCCTGCTTGCCGAGAATGAATCACTTGCCTTAACCCTGCTGAGTCCCTTCAGCTTCTGTGGTTCTCATAGTCTGATCTTTGCCAGAACTTTCCTAACAGGGTCAAAGCTGTTTCTCCATGTACATTTTACAACACTGTTAACAAAACAGTTTTAGAAGTTGTGTGTATGGAAGCCAAACGCAAAAGAGTAGGTTCCATTTGTGATTCCATTTGTATGAAATTCAAGAATAGGCAAACTAATCTACAGTGATGGAGATCAGATCACTGATTTCCCAGGAAGGTAAGAATTCTTAGGAAGGGAGAACTTTCTGCGTGATAGAAATGTTTTATGTCTTGGCTGGGCTGCTGTTTACACAGGTAAATACATCAGTCAAAACTCATCTAACTGAGTACTTAAGATATGTGCATTTCACTGTGTGTAAATTTTACCTCAAAAAATAAAAGCTGTGTAACAGTTTGGTGGTTTTTTTACTATATAGTAATCTCTATCCTTGAAGGCAGTAACTAGTCTATCAGTTATCTCCTCTTCAGCTTTAATAGTTTACACCCTTTTATCTTAAAATTTCTCTCGTTTCTTTGTTCATCCATTCACTGTATTTACTGAGTGCCTGCTTGGCACTAGGTCCCGAGAAGTTGGAGAAACAAGGATGAAAGTGTAGGTCACAGGTTGGTAAAGGAAATAGACTTGTAGATTGGTTTAGATCAATGCATCAAATCCTTTAAATGAAAGTAGTCCAGGAGGAAACATAACTTGGCCAAGGAGAGCAGGAGCTGACACATAGAAGAAGACTTTGACTTGGATTACAAAGAGTGAGCAGGCATTTACGAGGAGGAGAAGGTAACATGCCAGGCAAGCGAGCACCTTGTGCAAGACGAGGCGCGGTGTGGCCAGTGAATGATCCAAAGAGCTGTGGGACTGGATAGGACGGCACAGGGAGATGAGGCCAGAGGGTTAACTGTATGGCTTTGAATGCCACACCAGGGAGGAGAGATTTCACCCTGTACAACAGGAAGCCAACAAATCATTTTAAGGTGTTTCGGGGAAAAAAAGTTTTTTTCCCAAGCAACAACATTCTGGTCACCTGAGCGAGTAGAAAATAGTGGCTGGGATCCAGTAAGGATTGGAGTCCAGAGGCTGTTATAATGTCCCAGCAAATAAACAAACAGACAGACAGACAGACACATCCAAGACCACAAAAATGTGGAAATGAGAATCAAGAAGAAAAGTGAATTTCAAGAGATTTCCGCCTAGCACTTAAAAAAAAATTCTCTATCTCCAGACTCCACAGTGACTTTTACTAAAAGTCTTTTTTTTAGGGAGATCCTCATCTAACAGCTTTAGGTAATTTTTTTCTCTTTCTTTTTTTTATTTATTCTTTTCTTTCCAGAATTTTTATTCACAATTTAATGTAAATTTTGCATTCATTTAGTATTTTATGTTTTTGTTGTTGGTATGAATAAATTGTTTTTATTTTAATTTCTGACTACTTTTAAGGAGGGATACAATAGATTTATATATTTAGCTTATCACTGACTACTTTGCTGAACTCTTAATAACTTCAATAATTTTATAGATGGTTTAAAAATTATTTTGTGTACAATGTTATTGTTGAAATTAACACTTTCTTTTTCCTCTCTAATATTATTTAAGTGTCTAAATTATTTAAGTGTCTAAATTGAAAATTATTTGTGTCATTGCATTTGCAAGAATCTGAAATGTGGTATTAATTAGTAAACAGTGATAATGGGCATTTAAATTTTGTTTCTGTTTTTAAAGACAACATCTCTAATGTTTTCCTCAATTACGGAGAATGCTAGTTCTTGGTTTTAAGTAGATACTCCTTTGTACTGAATATCTTTCCACATAGTAAGGATTTTTCTTTTAATGGAGGTATAATTGACGTATAACACTGTCTTAGTTTCAGGTGAACGATGTAATTATTCTATATTTGTATATATGGCAAGAGCTCTAGACAATTTTCTTAAAGCTAATTCATCAAATGACTAATTGTTTGAATTTTCTTACTTCCTTTAAATAATAATCTCCTGCTGCATCTAGAGACTGGAGGACAGGAAGGAGGGAGACTGGAGAATATCTTCTTGATTATGAAAGGTTTTATCGTAAGAATATACTCAAGAAAAATATATTTATTTATAAAAATGTTCATATGAAAGACTCTATCCAAGAATATATACAAGAAAAATAGTTTATTCTTGAATGATGAATAATTACAAATATTACTTCTGTGAATAATATATAGATTATAGTGAAACCAATAAGGCTATAGACTATGTAATTCCATTCATATGATGTTCTGGAAATGGTAAAACTATAAGGACAGAAACCAGATCTGTTTTGCTGGGATCTGGGAGTTGGTGGAAGGGTTGACTTTAGACGGACAGCATGGTGGGTTTTGGGTGCAATGAAATATTTCAGCATGATGAATACACGATTCATCAAAATCCGTAGACTGTACACTGCCGAGAGTGAATTTTACTGTATGGAAATTAGCAAATCAACCAGGAAGTGGGGGGAGAAGTGGAATGCAGACTCTGACAAATGAATCACATAACCACCCTGAAGGGGTTGGGGAAGAAGATGCTGACCTAAGTAACTTTGAAAAAGAGTGGTTTTTTTTTTTTTTTTTGAGGAAGATTAGCCCTGAGCTAACGTCTACTGCCAATCCTCCTCTTTTTGCTGAGGAAGACTGGCCCTGAGCTAACATCTGTGCCCATCTTCCTCTACTTTATATATGGGATGCCTACACAGCATGGCTTGATAAGCAGTGTGTAGGTCCACACCTGGAATCTCAACTGGCAAACCCCAGGCCGCCGAAAGGGAACGTTCGAACTTAACTGCTGTGCCTCCAGGCCAGCCCCTGAAAATCAGTGTTTTGACTATAAGGCCAAAGACAAAAAGAACTGTGCACAAACACTGTACTCTACTTGGTAAATTTGTTTCTCACATGGGTATGGATTAGCAATTCTGAAACCACTATGTCTTTACTAAGGTTGAACAAATAAATAGAAATATTGTAGATATTGAGAGCCAGGCAGAGAAAGAAGTAACAAATAAGGAAAGGGGAGAGTCTAGAATGAACTCTTTGTTGCTGGATTGGAGCTGGAGGTTATCAAAATTGACTCATGCTTGTGTTTTATATATATACAGACAGATAATTACAAAGTAAATACAGATATGTGTTTATCTGTGAGTTAGTATACATATATATATATATATATATATATATTTTTTTTTTTTCCTATCTCTAACTTCTGCAAGGGACAAGAAGCAGTGACACCCCATTAGCAATGAGCACACCTAGTGCCCAGATCTTGGTTTCCAAATACTATTCTCTAAGAAAAAGAACGAGAGCTGCATGGAGAAATGATTGATTCCAGTGCCTTGGCAGAGAAAATACAAAATGAGCATGGAGCATCTTGTGATGCTAGAATGTAGGAAAATACCATAAAAAGCGAATGGAGGAAATTAAAAAGGTACTGGAGCCAATCTGAAAAGTGCCCAATGGACAAAGTTGGAGCAACAAAATAAATAGTGATAGTGCTGGATCATACTCACAGAACACAATAAATATCTATGAGTCCATACTGATATAAACAACTGAACAAACAGACTGGGGAGAAGGTACAAATTTTTCTTACAGAAGAATTCCAGTTAATAAAAAGGGAAGGAATGTGGGACACCATTACAACCACACAGTAATAATTGCTGCAGGCAAGATATACCAATGAATGCCAAAATTAGTGAGTGAAAGTTTAAGCAAAAATAGGATATTTGCATAGTCTCAAAATATCTCTGCACAAATATTTAGTATTTGCAAAGGGAAAAGCAGAAACTTCACCATGGAGAATCCTGTCAGACACCACCTCAACTGAGTGATCAAGGTTGACATTACCCATAATGGCCTCTCTGATACGACACACTGTGAAGGGCACATCCTCTCTGTGGTAGCCTACTCAATAATTTATAACCCCAATTTAATCATAAGAAATCAAATTAATGATAAGAAGTCAAACAAACCAAAGTTGCAGGACATTCTATAAAATGTCTGACCAGTACTCTTCAAAAGAATCAACATCATGAAAGACAAAAACAGAGGAACTGTCACAGGTTGGAGACTAACGAGACCTGATGAGTAAGCGCCATGTGGAATCCTGGATTGGATCTGGAACACAAAAAGGACGTTAACGGGAAAGCACAAAATCTGAATGAATTCTGTAGTTTAGTTAAGAGTATTATACCAATGTTAATTTCTTAGTTTCTATAAACATAATTATACTATGTAAGATGTTGACATAGGGAATATATGGAAACTCTCTGTACTATGTTTGCAACTCTTCTATATGTCTAAAATTATCTAAAAATAAAAAATTTTAAAACAAAACAGAACAAAAAGGCCTGTACATGTAAAAAGGTGAATTTTACAACGTTTAAATTGTGCCTCTTGACTTAAAAAGTATCTTTTCTTTATGATAGTCCTTTAAAATATATTCATTGGTTATGTTAAGTACATACAAATACTTTTTTAATCCATCCAAATAATATTATTCTTGAAAATATTTAATACATTCAAATAAAATTAGTAGTTGAAGTAATCAATTATATTTCGTAAAGTGGCCATTCATTCAATTGTCTTTCAGAGAATCAGCTGCCATCTGAGAGGGGAACACGGTCCCAGCCCTCCTGTAATTCCCGAGTTCCTCTTCCTCTTAAGAGGCCACTGGGAAAGAGAGAGGCCCCACAGATCGCAGGAAACTTCCTACCTCTGAATGAAAACAAGAACCAGCTATGATTTTCTGGACAATGTTGAATGAGACAGGGATGGGAGTCAGAGAAGGAAGGATATGGGCATTCTCATTCCAGGCCTGACATGACCTTTGGAGGGGAACTAATTTCATCTAGTAATTGAGGAAGGCTTGGTGGGCTGAGGGCCCTCAAGTAGCAGGAGCAAGGAGGGAAATCTGCGGGCTGGAGATAAACCACTGAAAAGGAGTTGGATGGATGCTTAAGAGAAGAGGGCAGTTTTAAGGTAGAGAGATTGGGTGTTTATGCCCCCTCATCAATTCTCCTCCTTCCTGTTAAGGACCCAGGTGCTCTAAGACCTCTGACATCTAGCTCTCCTCTAACCATGCGCTACTCCCCCAGGCAGCCCTGGCACATACCCTCCTTGGTCTTCTCCCACCCATGGAAAAGGAAGTCCAAGGCCCTCTCGGAGCACTGGGACATTGTGTAGAGACCAGTTTTCATCTAGGGCTCTGCATCAGAAAATGATGCCACTCACACTGACAAGCTTGATTCCCTGTTACTGCTCATCTCTGGGCCCTGGGCCAGAGCCAAGATCCCCTTCTTACACCTGTGACATCTCTCGTCCGCTCTGCCACTCCCCTGTGTCAGATCCTCTTCCCTAGATTGACAGAGTAATGGAATAAGGTGCTCCTCCTTGCAAGAAAGAAGACCCAGGAGTGCTAGCTTCCTGGGCAGCAGCACATATAAATCTCACAGCCTCTGTGGGCTTAAGGAGAAGGAAAGACAGAAAAACTAGAGAGAAGGAGGGAGGAAAAGCTTCTCTGGCTTCCAGCCCGTGTGGATTCTTTGAGATGAAAAGAAGGAAACGCTCTGCCACATCCCTTCTCCTGCTGCTGCTGCTGCTTCTGCTAAGGTGTTTGGACCTGGGTGAGTGAACTGATTTTCGAGAGAAAGATGCAAAAGTTCCCCAGGGCCTGGAGAGCTGGGGGTTGGGCTCCCTGGAGAAGGAATCTCTTGGGACTCAGGCAGGGCCAGTCTTGAGCCAAGGTATGGAATAAATGGGTGAAACTTGGGAGATTCCAGACCCTGGTATCTGCCACCAACTCCCCATCACAAGGAAGCAGGGTTTTGAGGGTCCTGTTCATTCTCTTTCTCACATCCTCTTTTAAGGAAATGCTCTACTTTTGATTAATTACACTTTATTTAAGTTTCTGTATTTCAATTCTTTTTGAAAAATGGAAGATTTGAGCCCTATGAGAGGAATTTGGGGAATCAGCAGCAGATAGGGAGGAACTGTTTTGAGCAGAGAGACCCAAAACTCCAAAATATAAGCCATGTAGGCTGCATTTATTCATAAGAGTAAATGCTGTCAGTCCTGATGCCCTGCAGGTGGGGGTGGCGGGAGGTGAAGAGGATTCATTTCTTCCTTCTGTTTAGACTCAACTCAGTGTTGCTGTCAACTCCAACCAGAGCGGACCCACAGTCCCTCATGACTCCTCCTACCCCAAACCACCTCGAATCTTACCTGCCTTTAATTTTGCCACTGCAGCCCCAGATCTGACCCAGAGCTGTCTCCCTCTAAATCATACAGCAAGCCATGACCTGAATTTAATCTCTAACATGAATCACAGCTCCTGCCTCGTTTGTTTACTGGAGCCCCAGGCATGGCTGGGTGAGAGAAAACACACACAAACACGGAGTCAGAATACCCAAATTGCTGAAATACCAACCCAGCCCAGGAGTGAGGCTGAGAAAGAGTCAGTTTTAAAGTTCCACGGAGAGCCCAGAGCAGGAAAGGGCAGAGCCAAAGGCTGGGTGATCATACCTTCCAAGGACCTAGCTTAACTCTGGATAGTCCACTTTGTAGTGCAAGAGGATTCCATGTGGGATGTTTTTTTTTTATCAGAATTAAATCCAAACACCAGATGGTCCTTAACTCGAATAAATCCAACCACATTATATGCGGAGATATGTCATTTGAATGGGAAGGACAGTTACGGAAAATATTAAGCAGAGCAGATGATGACAGTCCATCAGGGATCTACATTTAAAAAGATTATTTTTGAATAGGAACAAGCCAAAATGTTTCCACTAAGGACCCAGTGACCAGCCCTGAAAACTCAGAGACAAGAGAAAACTATCCCACAGATGATGTAGAGACTACTGAAGATCATATCATTGAGGCCCTAGGTACCAATGAGGACTACACCACTGAACCCCTGGAGACCCTTGAGGACTACACCACTGCAGACCTGGGGCCCACTGAGGACAATATCACTGATGATCTGGGGACCATTGAGGATCACGTCATTGAGGCGCCAGGCACCACTGAGGACTACACCACTGAACACCTGGAGACCTCTGAGTACTACACCACTACAGACTCAGGGGCCTATGATGACTATACTACTGTAGCCCTGGGGCCTGAGGACTATACCACAGCAGACCTGGGAACCACCAAAGACTCTTTTGCTGCAGACCTGGGGACCATTGAGGACTACATCACTGATGACCCGAGGACCACTGAGGACTACACCACTGTAGACCTGGGTACCACTGAAGACTCTTTCACTGCAGACCCAGGGACCACCAAGGATTACACCACTGCAGACCTGGGGCCCACTGAGGACCATGTCATTCACGGCCCAGGCACTATTGAAGACTATACCACTGAACACTTGGAGACCCCTGAGGACTATGACACTTCAGACCTGGGGACCACTGAGCACTACACCACTGTAGACCTGGGGACCACAAAGGACTATCCCACTGATGACCCAGGGATCACCAAGGACTATATCACTGTAGACCCAGGGACCACCGAGGACTCTTTCACTGCAGACCTGGGGACCACTGAGGACTATACCATTTCAGACCTGGGGATACCTGCAGACTCTCTCATTGTGGACCTGGGGACCACCAAGTACTACACCACTGATGACCCAGGGATCACCAAGGAATACATCACTGTAGAACCAGGGACCACCGAGGACTCTTTCACTGCAGACCTGGGGACCACTGAGGACTATACCACTTCAGATCTGGGGACAACCACAGACTCTTTCATTGTGGACCTGGTGACCACCAAGGACTACACCACTGATGACCCAGGGATCACCAAGGACTATATCAGTGTAGAACCAGGGACCACCAAGGACTCTTTCACTGCAGACCTGGAAACCACCGAGGACCACACCATTGCTGACAGGGGGACTACCAAAGACTCTTTCACTACAGACCCAGGGACCACTGTGGACTCTTTCACTGCAGACCTGGGGACCACTGAGGACTACACCACTGCTGACCTGAGGATCACTACGGACTCTTTCACTGCAGACCTGAGGACCACCAAAGGCTATACCACTGATGACCCAGAGATCACCAAGGGCTATATCACTGTAGACCCAGGGACCACCGAGGACTCTTTCACTGCAGACCTGGGGACCACCAAGGACCACACCACTGCTGACCTGAGGACCACTGTGTACTCTTGCACTGCAGACCTGGGGACCACCAAGGACTACACCACTGCAGACCCAGGAACCACAGAGGATTATACCACTAAGCATCTCAACACTCACTCTGAGGGAACAGATTCAGTAACTGCAGTGAAGCCCACTGGGCTCCTGACGCCCATTGGAATCATCCTCATTTCTCTGGCTGCCACCACAGCCATTGTTGCACTCTTTGTTGGACTTGGCTTGATTGTGGTGAGTATTTGGCCCAGGAATGTGAAAGAGATTATGGGAATGAAGGACTCTGAGGAGGAAGAGGGCATGGGGAGTTGAGGTATGAGAAATTGTCAGAGGTGAGGAAACCTAGAGAGTTTTGCAAAGACACACAAAGAGACAGAGATGGAGCAAGTAGCATAAAAAATGTGGAGAGTTGAGGGAAAGAGGAAGGTGTAAGAGACAGAGGGAGAAGGAAAGAGGGAAGGTGAAGAGAGTACAGAGAGAGAGAACGCAGACAAAAAGAGGACCATAAGAATCTATAATAGAGTAAGACATGCTGAGAGCTAGAGCAAGGCATAAACCATTACGTAAAGATAAATGTGAAAAATGGGAATTTTCATAAGAAGACAAAGAATTGGGAGGTAAGAGGAGAGGAGGAAATGAAACATTTTGAATGGTCCACTCATGTCAGCAATGCTACTATTTTGTATTAATTACTATCCACTCTGAAATTCTGCCAAAGATTTTTTAAAACAAGGATTAGGTAGGCCTTTATGAGCACAGCTACTCTATACTGGAGAAACAATTGGTAACAGCTTTCAAAAGGGAGTTCTAGATATTTTTCTGTCTCTGAGAGGCCCTGTTGTTTCTACACGGGGAGATACAAGGACTCCGTACCAGCTCTGTGGCTTCCTCTTGCTGACTCTTCGTCTAAAACTGAAGCCTTCAACTTCTGGCCTTTGTTAGATGGGGAAGGGCTGGTCCTTTTTGGCCATCCTGACCTAAAGATTACGAGCACATTGGAATCTTAGCAAGTGGCAGCTTACGTGATTGGCCAGCCCATGCAGGTGATTAAAGCCTCGTTAATTCTTGTTGGTCATTGATGCCATTGTGAACTGACCTCTGCCCCAAAAGGCAAACCTACAGCTTGGGATTGGTTTGTAAGTGTGATTGAAGCCGAAAGTAATGCATTATTCAGTTGAGGTGTTCACGTTTAATTCCATCAAAATCACACCGTGAAACTAGAGCATTCTGAAGAATGATTGACAAGAGAAAATGAGAATGAAAGCCTCCATGTGGACTTGACACACTCATGAGTCATGTTCAATATTTGCCAGTACAGGGAGGACCTTCTTGACTTCACTGTTATCATGAACAAGTAGATTTCTGACCACGTGGATCGCAATGAAAAGTCAGACACTCTTTCTCCAGGAGGGTGGATGCTTTCCTCCCTCCAAACCAGGCCTCTAAGTGCCGCTGGTACAGAGCGGCCACTAGCAATGGCACCTTCTTAACCTCTTGTAGAGACTAAAAACGAGAGATGGTTCAAAAGGCTCAGGGTACAGGAAATAAGAGGAAAGTTTGTGTTCCCAAACTTGCTAAATTTTTAACTTTTTGACATTTAACCAAAAAAGTTTTAAAAATAAGGATTATCTATACTTCAATCCATCCCTCTAACTCCGTATATCAAAATAGCTTTTTTGCCCCTACACGACTTCAACATTTTTGGAAATTGTGTCTCTAGTGGCATCAGGATCTGAAGAAAATGGGGACATAGGAAGGAGTCACAGAGATGGGGAGATGAGCTGGATAGATCTTGATAAATCACAAACCACCAGGGTTAAGAGAGGAACTGAGTCTTAAAATAAACCACTGTCTTCCTCCCTAGAAAAATTGCTTCCTGAGTCCATTCAATCCATCCACCAGGGTTATTTATCATCCCCACGCCATGGATTGGAGTGCGCCATAAAGAGGATCCTGGCAGTGACTGCAGTTGGTTCTAGAGCAAACCAGCCACCCATCAGCCTCTGCAGGACCATGAAGCATGATGAGCATCCCCAGGCTTCCGCTTCCTTCCCCCAGTCTGGAGCCCTAGGACCACCAGATGAGAAAGGTAGCTGGCCCTGGGAGTAAGCATGTCAGGGACGCTCAGAAGGATGCCTGCTCTGAGTATCTCCTAACTCCGTCTGGCTGTGCTTACTTCCTCAGGAAAATTGCCTCTACCTATCTACCAGATGTGGCCATGAAAACTATTTGGAGGAGATACACACATCTGAGATATAAGAGATATTCATTAAGTCTGATCAAAGAAATAAAGCAAATGTTTGTCTCTTTCTTTCTAGGTTGCATAGCTAAATTCATTCACTTAAGAAAATAGTTAAGTGCCTAGCATGGGCCAAACACGCTATGCCTTTCTGTGTGCCCATCTCAGTCTGTCTAGCTGAAGGATACACCCCCTGATCTCTCAAGAGCGCCACACCCAAGTCCTCCCAACACCCAGGGCAAAGGACCATGTCTACAGGATGTACCCAACTGGTCACTCAATAAGTACCTATTGAGCACCCACCGTGGGGACAGACCACCAGAGCAAACAACTGAGTCTCATCTCAATCATGCTGTGAAATGAGAGACACAAGTCCTGATCTGGCCTCTGACTAGGAGAATATCTCTGCCTCAGTGAGTCAAAGAGGGAGAAATATCTTTCATGAAAAGTCCTATAAATGATGCTTAAGATGGTCAAGACCACAGACAAAGGCAGGATATGGAACATAACAGCTCCATGAGCTGTTCAGGACAAAGAGCTCAGAGTAAAGATATTCGAAGACAGTTGATTATTGGTCACCCTCCCAGCCACTATTACCAGCATCACCACCATCATTTAATAATGGAATTATAGTATTGTGGTATAGAATCAGAAACACAGAATAATAAATTCAAATATTAGAATCCTGTTTATCTGTTTCCAAAATTTACATTACACCTGTTATCATTCAAGTGTCGTGACTACAAGTTGAATAAAACTCAAATTGCTTACTAAATAATGCTCAAGAAAGATGAGGACACTGATCACTTTTAGTGATATGTTTGGCCTATCAGTGCACTGGGGCACCTAGAAGCTAAAAACACTCAGAGATGCATCACTATTATTATTGTTATATTACCTAGAAATGTGTGAACCAGCAAATGAAGTATAGACTCCTTATGCTTATAGTCCTACTGTTCCAATAAAGTTAGACACAACAGCAGTCATTTAATGTGATGCGTGATATTCTTTTGCTGAAAAATTCTTTGCTCCCAACATTAATGTGGTCCTGATTCCTACAGCATAGGCAAACAAATCCCCCTTGCTGTGTGATGTCTCCATTCTTTCATGGAATTCCCTGTACAAACTGTCTAGAGACCTTCAGTCTCTGAGTGAACTGTGAGATTATCTGGCCTTCACTTAAGGTAAAGGCACCATTTAAATTTTAAGACAGTCCCTGTTCTACTCTTGTCAGCCTGCGACAATTCTAACGATTAGTCATTCCTATTAGTTTTATGTTGGTTTTATACTGGTCATCAACAGGATCCAGAAAAATGCTTATATTACTGGGATTTTAAAGATTATCATCTAAAGAATATGCATGTGGCAAAAACAGCTAGTTTCTATCCAAAATTCATTCTCCCCTTCTTCCATACTTGGGGTACCCAAGTTTTGTGTGGGGTGGCAATGTGCCCAGCTGAAAACACCCAATTTCTGAGCCAGGTGTGGTGATGAGGTACGGTTCTGGCCAATGAGATGGAGACAGAAGTCTGTGGAGATGGTGTCCCTTCCAAAATGAAAAGACAGAGGCCCATCAGGAGAAAGCCCTTCACCCCTTCACTCTTCGCTCTGCTTCCCACATGGAATGTAGGTACGAGACCTGGAGGTGCAGCAAGCTGAGCTGAGACCACGAGGAGACAAACAGGGAGGTGAAGGCCATCAGGCTGAGAGTGGAGCAGATGAAAGGAATCACCTGGGTCCCTGATGGCATTGCTGTGCCCTGGCTGCTGCTCCCAGACCTTTTGTATGTATATGAGACTAGTATGCCGCAGCTCGGTTAGGTGACCTTCTATAATACCAGCCGAATAAGAGCCTAACTGATATGACATGCTTTTAAAATATCGTATGGACATGATGGACGATCAAGAATACATCTGTAGACACGATTTGAAGAAACATTGTACTGGGTCCTTTTCAATGCTAAGAGTTTAAGAACATGTGACCTACACTTAGTGGGAAGTGGAAGAAGAATAATAAAATGCCCTCCCTTGGAGGCAGTAGATGGCAAAGGAAGAGTCTGTGACTTAAGATACTGTGTGCAGCAAGAATACCAGTTTATGGCAGGAGAGAAGAGTGACAGAAAAGTCTCTTAGTTAACATACAGTCAAGAAAAGTCAGGTCTATCTCTATAACACTTACCCCCTGCAGTTCAGTCTGGGGTTGGGAGGTGGGCATTCACTAAAGGGCATTGGCAAGCAGGAGGAATTCCAGAGTCTGCCTTGGCCTCCCGGGGCACAGCACCTTTGCAGTCTCAGCACATGCTTGGTTTGTGCAATAGCATAATAGCTAGAGCTAAAAGTTCCAGCTGAGGAAGTTTGTATAGTTGAGTTTCTGCACCTCAAGGATAACTTCAAGCAATTGCAAAGACCATGAAATCTCTGTAAATAGCATAACCCATGTGATTCAGCCTAGAAACTTTAGCATGCAAGAAATATCCCCAAAACTTTTTTTTTTTAAAGATTTTATTTTTTTCCTTTTTCTCCCCAAAGCCCCCCGGGTACATAGTTGCATATTCTTCGTTGTGGGTCCTTCTAGTTGTGACATGTGGGATGCTGCCTCAACGTGGCTTGATGAGCAGTGCCATGTCCACACCCAGGATTTGAACCAACGAAACACTTGGCCGTCTCCAGTGGAGCGCGTGAACTTAACCACTCGGCCACGGGGCCAGCCCCTATCAAACCTTTTTATTTTCTTTCAGTTAAAATAATTTCTGCTCCTGTCAGACTAGAGTGAAATTCAATCTCAGCCCTTTTTGCTGCTCTTCAAAGATCCCGGGTTTTACACAGGATAGAGGCATAAGGGATACTCTTAAAGCCATACAGTAACTGGCCCATACTAATTACCCCCAAGATACCTGTGTCCTTTTGGGTCAGCAGTTCTGCCAAAAGCACAGAGTCTTTGCTGAATCAGTCTCCGTCAGCCCACCATGTGGCCTCCTTCTCCAGAATGGGGTCACCTCTGTAAGGTCCTGCTGGGAAGGAGGGCACGGTTCCTGCTTTTGAGGACCAACAGACGGATGCGTGGCAATGTAGTCTCTGGACGGTGCTGAAGGTGGAAAAGGACAAGGTGAAGCAGCTGCAGAACATCCAGAAAAAAAAAACAGAAGGCTTAAAGAATAAGGGAAATACCTCTTAATTACTCTGGGACCTTGAACTACAAGATTTGGTTGGCTCCCAAGCCATATTATACTCACACTTGTTATGACATTTGTAATTTGTTACATGTATGTCATCTTTTTAGTGAATATGTACAGCTCGTTCCATCGTGTGAGTTCAGTCCCACTCAGCTAATCCTCCTTTTTTCTTCATAAAGTCCAGGGTTTAAAATCTAGGTGATCCCAATTGCCACATGCTGTTAGTATGCTGCCCAGATTGAGGACACCGGGCAAGCACACACCTTACAGAATTGTGCCTGAACAGGATTTATGCCTGTTTGGGTGTGTCACCCCTCACAAAAATGTCTTTGAATGCACATTCTGGTCCAGTCCCCCATCTTTACAAACGAGAATGTTTGGTGAAGTTATCCAGAAACAGTGATTCAACATTCTCGCTACAGAAGGTACTATTTGATCCCTTAGTAAACACGTGGTTATTTTTCAAATCCAGTCATGACCTTTCCTGTGATTTATCTAAAATCTCTCTCTTTCGTCTCTATATATCACCATATTTATTTCCTTTATGGAACTGATCACAATCTGAACTTATCTTTATTTACGTGTTAATTTATTTACTCACAGTCTGTCTCCTTCCACTAGAATGTCAGTTCTTTGAGAATAGGGGTCTTGAGGGCAATACATGAAACGGAGTAGACATTCAATAATCATTGTGCTTCACTGATCTTAAGATGCACTTTTTCCCATTACATTATAGTTTAAATGGAGATGTGTCTTACTCCTGACAGGCATGTGATGGTTTGGTTGGCAGCAATTTTTCTTTTTTAGTGGAACATGAGCAATGGTGCATCTTGAACTCAATGTCATCTTAGATTTGATGAAATACGTATTTGGAAAGAAATAAATGAATGCATACTTTCTTTGGGTGCTGTTTCTTCTGTTTTAGTCTCGTTTGAAAACACAAAGAAATCAAAATTCCTTTAATGAGTGTCCAGTATGTGCTGGGAATTCTTTTGAGAACAAGGACGCAGACTAACAGAAATGAATGACATAGTCCCTGCCCTCAAGGACAAGAAAACCCACAATCACAGTGTAATGTGCTAAGTGCTGTAACAGAGGTGTGTGTTGGGGTGGAGCCCACAGGAGGTGTCTCACTCGGCCACGGCAAACCCAGGAAAGCTTCCTGAGGGAGGGGGTAATTGACTTAAGATTTATGACATATTTATGGGCACTTTGTGCTGCTTTAATATTTGTGGTCTCTTTTGATCCTGACAGCAGCTCTGTAAGGTAGGAAAATCATCCTATCTTAGAAATGCAGACCGAGGTTCAGAGAAGTTAAATAAATCGCCCCAAATCACACGAATGGTAAATGGCAGAGGGCGGTGGGAGGAGGCAGTTAAAGTCAGGTTGTCTGGGTCCAGGATCATTTGCTTTCCACTTCATTAGAGCTGAATTTCAAGTGATGAACAACTGCTGAGCACTCTGCTCATAAAACCCTTCAGAGGTGTGAAAACCTTCATCCATCAGTCTTCTCCTCTTTAGGCTGGTAGTGACAGGCCTTTGGATCTTTCCTTTAATCCGTTTTGGGTTTTGAGCCAAGCAAGAGAAACCAGATACAGTCCCCATTCCTGGGGAACCCCCAATCTGAAAACAAGTTTCAGACACACAGACACAAATAAAATCATCTTTGTGTGTACGGTACAAGGAAGGAAATGTGTCATCGGTTTTGACATTTAAGAGATTTATTTACTTTGACAGGTGTGTTCTGCTTTTTAAAGTATTTGCAGCATCTCAGGTTTCACTCTTGAAAGAATTTGGCGACTGGACGCAAGCAGAGTTGCTCCATTTTTAGCTTAGAACCCCACCCAGAGTTTTTGAGGAAGCAGTCCTGAATCAAGACGGCTCTCAGATATTTTTGATTTTCTCCACCCAGGAGAGTTTTTCAGCTTCTTTGCACTACACATGGAAGAGGTGGCATGTGATGATTCATTTAACCATCCATCAAGTCTTTGCTGAGGACACATATGGCGGTTACTATGCATGGCTCTGAAGACACAGTGGAGAGCCATATAAACAACTTCTGCCTTCAAGGTGCCTGGTGAAAGCTAATGGACGTTGCTGTCATGTAGATGCAAAAGTTGTGAAATAGCTCAGTGTTCCACACCCTCTTTGGAAAACCTTAAAAAAATTCATGGAGCTTTCAGCAGTGACATTTACCATCAGCAACTTCACCATATGAGGCAGCAAGCAAAGTGAACTACAGATGCACCACTGAGCAGAGGCATTTTCTCTCACACTCAGACCACAACGGAACCGTTCTTTCTCATTTTGATTAGTATTCACTGCTTGTGTTGAGCTGTTTGCAGTTGAGACCCAATTTGTGAATGGAGCTGAGGCCTAGTGCAGTGTTGGATACTGGATCAAAGAGGCCACAAGTGTTTTATAAAGCAGAATTCACTAGTGAAGTCAAATAAATACCATAAGTGTCACAGTTGGTGAAAATTGGCCATTAGAAAAATTTGGATATGGTAAATTGTTAAATTGACGTGGATGAAGATTTAATTAGAATATATATTCAGCATGTGAAAAGAGATAATGGGAAGGGAATGCAGTGACAGTCAAAACATCAAGGCTACTATGGAAACAGTATCCATGGCAACAAATGGCCTGGACAAAAGATAGAGGCTCCTACAATGCCTGTATTTTCCCGATGAAATGTCTTGATGAGCCCTCTAGTGGCAACAGCTGGTAACCACCCTCTGATCGAAGAGCATCAGTCTTGGAAATTGATGGCCTGCTTCTGAGTGCCTCAGCGGAAGTTGGCTTTCATTACATCTCATAGTGTCACATCCTAGCTCCCTCCTTGTCTTGTACTTGCTGGGCACTGAAACACAGTATACGTCCACAAACAGCTACCATTTTTCATTGAATCTAAGACTCCATTTGCCAGAAAACATACCATAATTTCATGTACCACTAAGAAAGAAAAATAGTCAATTAAATTATGACATACCATTGATTGCAAGACATATCCCCATTTTAGAGATATTAAATGTGAAAATTATTATATGCCTTGTAATCTATAAAATATGCTTAGTGACTTTTGGTGAGTCGCTTAACATTTCTGGAGCTTTGTTTCCTCACTCATAGATAGTTCCACCATTCATTCATTCTTCTATTCATTCATTCTACACACATTTATTAAGTGCCGACTCAGAGACAGGCATTGACTTCAGCACTGAGGATACAGTGGTGAGCAGGTGTCCTGTCTTTGGGGGGCTTTTGTTCCAGTGAGTGTAGGACTTCTGATGGTCTTTGCCACACTAACATTCTGTGAGTCAGTAATTTTATGACAATGGATGACTTACAGAGTGAAAGCAGACACCAGAAAAGAAGTCAGAAAACCTGGATTCTAATCTAGTTCTTCCCCTAACAGAGTGCATGATCTTTCTCAGCCTTTGTTTATCCACTTATTAAGTGGGGATATTATTGTCTGTCCTGCCTAGATCGCTGTTAAATCAAGAAGTAGCTATGTTTTTCTCATAGTGCAGTCCTTCAACTATGTGCAATGACAGTCAAAATGGCAAAGCAGCTATGGAAACGTGTGCATGGCAACAGTGGTCCTATCTTTCCTTCTTGCCCCTGGATCAAAAAAGTTCCAGGGTTTGTCTTGTCACCTTCAGGTATGAAGCAGTATCATTTTATGTATACAAACGTCTAATCCAGAATAATATCGAATCTTTTTTCTATTGGCCAGTATAGAGCTTCTTGCTCCCCAGTGGACAGCCTGCAGTGGGCTTGTGTAACCCTTGCCTGGCAAACACAGCTGTAAGAGACAGGCTGGTTATCTGCCTGGGGGTGAGGGTGTAGGACAGGAGGCTGGGCTGGGGACCTGGTTCCCTGAGATTTTCAGACCAAGGCTCTGTAAGCGTTTCCAGTGGACTAGGTGTGAGCCATGCTAGAAGGAGATCCGCTGTGGGGCTGAGTTAGTCCTGTCTGATATGGCCACCTACAGGTGTGAGCCCACCGACAGGTGTGAGCCCGCCTACAGGTGTGAGCCCGCCTCAGCAGAAAGAAGCTCATGTTATTGCTGCATTCCCAGGGGCTGTGGGAGAAAGAAAGGATGGAAGAAGGGCCTCATTTGCAGCAGGGAACTGCACTTGAGTGGTCTCCAGCAATGGCTGTAGGGGAATAAGGGGTCTCAGAAGAATCCACGGAAACTCAAGGAGAATCAGCTTTAAGCACCTGCCAGGCCCAGAGAGTGCAGATCCCTCCTACCACCATGCCAGGTGAGGAAGAACTCTCCTGCCCCCCACTGTCTCTGACCCTTCCCCATTCTACCTGAGCTTGGAGGGTCAGAAACCATCA